GTAAGACAAGAAGAAAGAATAACTGGCAAAGTTGAACTAGGGCCTAAGAATTCATACCTGATGTGTGGAGGCAACGACTTCAACTCCAACACCGAAGGTTCCTCGATTGAAGGTTTTGTTGGTGGAGTCTTCCTATTTTCAAGATCCAAAGAGAGTTTCCTAGGCTCATAAGAGTATGAGCCCATTCCATGTAAAGCATTCACACACTCATTCTGCCTTCATCGTTAGTTACATCAAGATTCAACAATACTGCCTCTAGAGGGTCCTCCACATTGATCATTACACCAGTATCATCAACTATCACTGCCGTGACAAGGTCCACAAAGGAGCACACCTTAGAACTGTTGGGCTGCTTCATTGACTTGCACACATGAAAGACCATTTTCTCATCACCCACCCGGAAGGTGAGTTCCCCTGCTTCCACACCAACTAAGGCCTTCTCAGTAGCAAGGAAAGGTCTTCCCAATATGACTGGAACCTCATAATCTACCTCGCAATCCAAGATCACAAAATTAGCTGGCAAGATAAATTTGTCCACCCGGACAAGAACATCATCAATAATACCTAATGGTCTCTTCATAGTTCTATCTGCCATTTGCAATTTCATTGAAGTCAGCCTCGGTTGCCCAATACCCAAAGTCTTGAAAATTGAGTAGGGCATCAAGTTGATACTTACCCCCAAATCACATAGAGCTTTTGCAAAGTCAGCACTCCCAATGGTGCAAGGAATGGTGAAAGCACTGGGATCTTCTAGCTTCGGGCCCATTGAGTGCACTATTGCACTAACTTGGTGGGTCATCTTGATAGTTTCGCAATCCATGGATCTTTTCTTTGTCACCAAGTCCTTCATGAATTTAGCATAACCCGACATTTGTTCTGGAGGCTCCACCAAAGAAACATTAATGGATAAGCTCTTCATCATGTCAATAAACTTCTTAAACTGATTCTCATTTTTCTACTTCGCAAGAATTTGAGGATAAGGTGGAGGTGGCCTTGGTAAAGGAGCCTTGGCTTTGGGCACAACCGTTTTTGGCATGTCTATTACGTGTTCCTTAGACGGTCTCACGTCATTTTGAGTTTCCACCTCGGCATCTTGGATGTCAATCCTCACTTCCTCGTTCACGTTCTCATCAATCATATTTTCAACCACCAAACTTCTTGCAACTCAACTTCATCACTCAAAATTTCTTTTTGTTTGGAGGCATTCACATCACTACCTCGTCTGCTTCTTATATTTACCGCCATAACATGATTGTTCCCACCCTTCGGGTTAACTAACGTATCACTTGGTAGAGCCCCCTTAGGACGAGTATTCAAGGATAATGAGATTTGGCCTAATTGAACCTCCAAGTTTCTGATTCAAGTATTGTGGGAAGCCAACTGAGCATCAGAGTCCGCATTCTTTTTGATCATCTGTTCAAACATCATTTCAATTCCCCCCATTTCATTGTTAGAAGAACTAGGACCTTGGGATGAAAATGAGGGTGGATTGTTCGGTTGGTGATACATTGAGGGCCTTTGAAAGCCTTGCCCCCGATTTCCTTGATTGCCATTATTCCAACCACCCTGATTGTTGTTGTTGCCATTACAATTATCCTAATTGTTTTGATTATTGTTCTGATTGCCCCAATTGGAATTTTGGTTGTTGTTCCCCTTAATTACTATTCCCTTGTTGTTGTTGATTGCCCCAATTGCCTTTGGGTCTCCATTGTTGTTGGTTGGAGAATTGTCCCTTTGACCTTGATAGTTGTTGACGTATTGCACCTCTTCATTCTTCCCATCATAACCATCATCTTGGAATCCACCACAATCATTGTCATATTGATCCGAACTCCCTTGGTTATGCTGACCTCTTTGTCTTCTTTTGTTCACTAGCATGTTGACACCCTCCATAACATTTACTTAGCATGGATTTTGAACCTGTTGTAACTGTTCCATTGCAACTGGTTCATTGTTGTTGTTAGATTTTGTTATAGCCTGCCCATGATCATGTAGCTCTTTGTGCAAGTGAGGGACTGTGGGGTCACCCTGTGGCACATTGGCTCTACTTTGCCAAGCGGAGGACGTGTCAGCCATTTCGTCAAGAATGTCACAAGCCTCATCATAAGACAGCTTCATGAAATTACCCCCAGTAAGTTGGTTCACTATGCACGGATTTGTTGTGTTAATGCCTTGATTGAAAGTCTGTTGGATCATTGCCTCAGTCATATCATTGTTGGGGCATTCCTTTACCATGGTTCTATATCTCTTCCAAATTGCATGTAATGGTTCGGTGGGCTCCTTCTTGAAAGATAATGATGGAATGGTTGGGAAGTCGTTTAAGCCAATCCAATGCCTTCCCTCTAAGTGAGAAAGGTAATAGCCTCAATCGAAGTGCATCCTCCGACACATTAGTTTGCTTGCTCCCCCAACAGGTATCCAGAAAACCCTTGAGATGTTTGTAAGCATTCTGATTGGCAGCGCCCGTGAAATACCCTCGCTGCTCCAGCAATGTCAGCATCACATTTGTAATTTGAAAATTGCCCGCCCGGATCCGGAGTGGGACAATTGCACTAGCATATCCTTGGTTTGGAAGCACTCGATTAGCCACTCTTCAAGGTGGCGAGGGAGGATTTGGAATATTATCATTGGCCTGGCGGCCTCTCCTTTGTCCTTGAGGCACAATAGGAACCTCATCATCAATATTATCATCTACCTCCTCTCCTGGCGGAAACTCTCCAAGAGGTGCAATGTTTGCTGCCATTTTGTACCTGAAGTTGTAACACACACAAATTAATAACACATAAGGAAAGAAGAACACTACACAAAACTATTTAGATAGATAGCCAAAATCGTTAGCTCCCCGGCAACGGCGCCAAAAAGTGATTGGAGCCAACCCTGCACCACTACAAAGTAGCGAGAGTGGTCGAAGCAGCTTTTACCCGAGATGGTCGGGATCGAATCCACAGGGAGCTAGAAGTGGGAATTGGATTCCTATCTAAACTAGAGATGCGTAATTGCTCTTAATTACTATTCCAATCATCTTTGGTCTTTTTATTACTTCTAATATTATGCTAATAAGATGCTAAATTAAGCTAATAGTAAGATACTTGAAAGGTTGTCTAAATGGTTAAAAAGGCACAAGGGAAGTGACTTTTTCCTAGATGAATACTTGACGGTTTCTCGAATCTAAGGCAAGGTTGTCATGTTGGGGATTAAGATATAACAAATGCACGACACTTCTCACTCTATACCTCTACGTAGTTTGAGTGATTTTGCTCTAATTGACTTTCTCAAGACCAATTGGGTATGATAATGTGTGCAAGCAATTTAGGTTCAAGTCGGGTATTATTATCTCTAGGTTTAATCCATCAATTAGGGCTATCAATCATTTGAATACGCCCCAATTACTTGTTAGACTAATTTTTCTAGACTCAAGCTCTCTTTCTCAAGAAGAACCCAAGTCAAATAGGCACAAATTAGTGTTTGCAACCACTAATTAAACATGGAAAACACAAATTAGTCCAAATATCAAACACCAATAGACATTCAAGCCTTAAAACTCAAGACCCATCAAATACCCACACTAGGGTTGAGCCACAACCCTAGCTAATGGCTTTAGCTACTCATAATAAAAGAAGAAAACTGATAAATAGATGAAGAAAAACCCATAAGATTTAATTACAAGCTAATACTTGAAGATTCAATGATAACACCACTGTAAAATTACTCAAAATGGTTAAGAGCATCCATTCACGTGCTTAACCCAAAGTTAGATTACAAACCATGACCTAAAAATGGGAAAATAAACTATTTATACTAGGCCGAATTTTCTAGACAAAAATACCTCTGCGGGGGTAGTGCGGTCTGCACAAAATCGAGTGCGGCCGCGGTGAGGCTTCTTGGCTTTAGATCTATGCTCTCTGAACTTGGCCACCGCGGGCCGCATTGGCTATGTTCTCAAAACTCCCAACTCTCTGAACCCCGTCTTTACGGACTGCACAAAGTCCATTGCGGCCGCAATGAGACCATTGCGGTCCGCACAAAATGCTTTGCGTCTATAATGCTTGAGTTTCCAAAATATGCACCTCTCTGAATCTCCTCACCGCGGACCGCACTAAATGGAATGCGGCCGTAGTTGATCTGTTGCACTGTGCTTGGACTTGTTCTTTGTACTTGTGCATGTTTCACTCCTTTTTGAGCTGGTTTTGACTAATTGTCACCTTTTTTACCAAACCCTGCAAACAAATACAACATGTAAGCCTTTGGGACTATTTTGTACACATTTTTAATCAAAACTCAAGTAAGAAGGAGTGTAGAATGAACCATAATACCTAGTTATTAATAGGAGAACTCAAAGAATCATGAGGTACAACTAAGTATGAAGCAAAATAGGATGACACATAGGAATATGTAGAACCCGAATAAAATAGAACAGAAGCATCTCTACTGCAATTTGAAATGGTACTTGTGATAACAACATCAGATGACTCCGACTCAGACCTGGCTGGAAAAGCATAGCATCGGGGCTAGGCCCCACCACTCTGAACTATATTTGTAGGACGACCTACTGCTAGATCGCCTCCACATCTAGCGGCCTTACCTCCAACTCTAACAGCCTGACCTCCACCTCTAGCGGTCTGACCTCTACCTCTGGCTCCCTAACCCCTACCTCTAGCTGGCTGAGCGGGTGGTGATGCAACGGGTGCCTAATCGTGGCATAAGAATTCTGTTGTGGCGTACCACCAATAATCTCAGACAGGTCCTCCTGATATGCCCAAAACCACCATACTAAAAACATCCATCCTGGTGATGTGGCTGCTAAAACTGAGACTGACCCGAACGGGCCGGATGACCAGGGTAGTAACTCTGAATAGGAGGTGCACTGATAGAATCTAGCGGTGCACTATAGGTTGGCTGCCCTGATTGAGGCACATAAGGACCGTGACTCCTTGAAGCACTATGGGATGCCTGAAGCGTTGACTGGTATGGCCTAGGAGGATGACCCCTACCAAAAGTACCCCTGCCTCCAGACAAGGCGCCACTAAAACAACCGGAATGACAAGGCCTCTTGTCAGACCCTTGGCCTCTCTCCTGTGAAAGAACATCCTCGATACGCATGGCGACATTGGCAGCCGTCTGAAAAGAAATCTCACTACTAGTCTCCTTGGCCATCTGAAACTTGATAGGATAAGCGAGTCCCTTAATAAACCTCCTCACCCTCTCTCTCGGTAGGAAGCTGAAGAATAGCATGACGGGCTAAGTCCACAAAGCGGGTCTCATACTAAGTGATAGTCATACTGCCCTACTGAAGGCGCTCAAACTACCTACGGTAGCTCTCTCTCTAAGTGATAAGAAGGAATTCTCAGGAAATATCTGAGAGAACTGGTCCCAAGTAAGAGTAGGCGACCCAACTGGTCTGGTCAACATATAATCCCTCTAAGATTTCTTGGAGAAATCCAACAACTGAAATGCAGAAAAATAGACCTCATTGGTCTCCACTATACCCATGTTCTGCAGCACCTCATGACAGCTGTCAAGATAATCCTAGGGGTCCTCTAAAGATGCACCACTGAAGTGAACTGGAAAGAGCTTAGTAAACGTATCCAATCTCCATAAAGACTCGGAAGACATAGCCAATCCATCACCGGCTTGTGCCGCAGCACCCGGCTGAACTACCCCAATTTGCTGGGCTTTTAGAGTCTGAAATTAGGGAGCCATCTGCTCCGAAGTGTGAGTAGTGGGAGTCTGTGCTCCTTTTCCAGCCTGAGAGACGGCTAGTGCCACAGGAAATGCACCGGTCTAAGCCACACTCTCCATAAGGCCCACCAAACGGACCAAAGCATCCTAAAGCACTAGGGTGGCAATGAACCCTCCCCCGGGACCTGAGCCAGTCTGACAAGCATAGTCTGGGCTGGAACCACCTCATCAAACTCTACCTGAGGCTCCACCGCTGGTGCTGCTACTCGAGCTCTAGTTTGAGATCTGCCCCTGCCTCGGCCTCTGGCACGACCTTGGCCTCGACCTCTACCCCTCGTAAGAGTTGGTGCTGAGGTCTCTGGTTGTTGTCCAGCTAAAGATGCGATGCACGTTCTCGCCATCTATGAGAGAATAGAGTATAAGAGTTCAATCAGTAATGATAGAATAATATCGCATGACAGAGAAGAATAGAAGTGAAACTATTCCTAACTCCAAAGCCTCTGGAAGATAAGTACTGACGTCTCTGCACCAATCCTCCAGACTCTATTAAGTTTGCTCGTGACTTGTGAGTCCTATGTAACCTAGTGCTCTGATACCAATTTGTCACGACCCGAAATTTCCACTGTCGGTACTGTGATGACGCCTAATATTTCACTTGCTAGGCAAGCCAACGTTAGAACATATTATCCATTTTTTTAAAATTGAATTAAATAACGAGAAATAACTGGAATAACTAAAATGATCTGAATAATAAATGATGAGGATAAGACGGGTCACCTACACTACAACCTGTACGCATTACATATTATAATGACAGAATAATAGAAATACTGAACAGAATTATATATGTCAACCTAAAAAAATAACCACGACCTCAAGAATAAACCAGCGTCGTCCAGAATTTCCAATCTCTAACCGTTCAAATACAAAGACCGGAAAACCAACACAGCTCAAGAAATGGAAACAGATTAGTTGTTGCAGCGCGCAACCCGATCCTACCAAAAAACACATAATCCTCCCTTATTCCACTATAAAAATATCAATATAAATACTATATGTTTATTATGGCGCGTAACCCGATCCCACCATATATCAATATCAGTATCATAATTCATCCTTATTTCACCATACAATCCACCCTTATTCCACCATATCAATCCACCCTTATTACACGTGTTGCGGCGTACAACCCGATCCCACCATATCAGTACCAAATACTCAAAACACAACCAAATCAATAGTTCAACCACAAAGCCTTTACGATCAATAAATACCAAACTGAACCAGAAAGGAAATTGTACGATAAAGAAATATACACGAGTAATACTACACAGCGATACCAATCCAGCAATTGACAAATAAAAAGGTGCAAGTAAATCAATTTAAGCAAGTAGTAGGGAATCATGAAACTTATAGTACAACTAACATCATTAACAGGGGATATTGATTAACAAGTAGCAGTCAAGCATGTAAAGCATTAAGAACATATAACAGTTAAGACATGAAAGGAAATAATTAAGGAAGTGCGGAAAATTGGGAAGAAAAAAAAGATAATTCAGTGGCTTATAAGCACTCGCCACCATGCTTACGCCGCTCACATGAAATTCACATAACACATAGTCTGAGGGCCCCTAATTCCCTCAAGTCAAGGTTAGACACATAACTTACCTCGCTCCGAAGACCAGCCAAATCTCAACCACAACTTTTCCTTTCAAACAAGCCCCCGGACCAACAATATCTAGCAAATTACCAACCAACGATACAAAATAAGCCTTAGGAATCACCCACGATTACAAAAGATTCAATTTAAGTCATAATTAAAAAGGTCAACAAAAGTCAACACCCGGGTTTGCTTGGTACAAACGCAAAGTTCGGACCAAAATTCGATTACCCATTCACCCCCAAGCCCGGTTATGTAATTTGTTTTTGAATCTGACCCCAATTTGAGATCTAAATCCCAATTTCTCAAAAATCCCTAATTCTCAAACCCCAAAATTTTACCATGAAAACACTAGATTTTAGGTTAAAAACTTGAAAATGTAATAAAAGATTAAAAAAAAATGAGTTAGAATCACTCAATGATTAGGGGAAGAAAGAGTCTTGGAAAAATTGCCCAAAGGGTTTTCTTGTTTTCAAAATTCGAAGAATAAGTGAAAATCTTGTTTTTCTAGCTATTTGGTCTGTAGCAGGTATCACATTTGCGATCAGGGCTTCGCAAATGCAAACCCCACAAATGCAAACTTTTATTCGCAAATGTGAAGATTGCCTGAACCTGTTGACATCGCAAATGCAACCCAGTATTCGCAAATGCGAACTGTCAGGATCGCAAATGCAATAAAAAATATCGCAAATATGAAGGTGTAACTCCCATCCCAGTTCTCGCAAATACGATGGCCTCTTCGCAAATGTGAGGCTCCCATTTGCGAGCCAGACCTCTCAAATGCAAAGTCTGCAGGTCTTATACACCAGCAACTATGTTTCTCTAAGTGCAAAACACTATGTAGCCTATCCGAAACTAACCCAATCCCTCAAGGCTCCAAACTAAAGGTGAACACTAGTCTAAAAACATCATACAAACTTGCTCGTGCAATTAAATCGCAAAAATAACACCTAGAACTACGAATTAAACACCCAATTACATGGAATTTTCAAGAACACTTTAAAAACTCTATTTTCACAATCGGATGTCTGAATCACGTCAAACCAACTTTGTTTTCCACCAAATTTCACGGACAAGTCTTAAATATTATAATGCACTTGTACCATGCTCCGGAACATGCGGACCCAATATCAACAAGACAAAACATCAATCAATTCTTGAAAACCATTAATTTTCAAACTTTTAATTTTCAACAAAAATTCATATCTCAAGCTAGGGACCTCGGAATTTGATTCTGAGCATACGCCCAGGTCCCAAATTATGATATGAACCCACTGAGACCGTCAAAAGATGGATCCGGGTCCGTTTTCTCAAAATGTTGACCAAAGTCAACTAAATTTAACTTTTAAGGCAAAAATTCTTATTTTTATCAGTTTATAACATATGAGCCTTCCGGAAAACACCCGGACCGCGCACGCAAAATTCGGAAGGCTAAAATAGGATATTTAAGGGTTCAAAGCATACAATTTAGTTCTAAAACATGAGATGATCTTTCGGGTCATCAAAATGCAGGATTAGTTTCGCACGACGCAATCTAGACAATAGAGTTACACCGATAGAAAGGTTCGTGATGTTTCTTACATGGTTGGGGAGAAGTTGCTGCTCAAGGTTTCTCCCATGAAGGGTGTTATGAGGTTCGTGAAGAAGGGCAAGTTGAGCCCTCGATAAACTATGTCGTTTAAGGTGTTTCAGAGGATTGTAGAAGTGGCTTACAAGCTTCGTTTGCCACCTAGTTTGTCAAGTGCTCATCCAGCATTTCATGTTTCTATACTCCGGAATTATATCGGCGATCCGTCTCACATTTTGGACTTCAGCACGTTTCAGTTGGAAGGTGATTTTACTTATGATGTGGAGCCGGTAGCCATTTTGAAACGGTAGGTTCGAAAGTTGAGGTCAAAGGACATAGCTTCAATGAAGGTGCAATGGAGAGGTCAGCCAGTTGAAGAGGCTACTTGGGAGACCGGGCAGGAGATTCAAAGAAAATATCCATGCCTATTTGAGACTCCAGGTACGTTTCTAGACACGTTCGAGGACAAACATTTTTTTAAGAGAGGGAGGATGTAACGACTCGGCCGGTCATTTTGAGAGTTGTAGCCCTATTCTCACATTTTCAGCTCATTTTTTGCTTAATAGTTGCTATGGGACTTTTCGTGCTAGTTAGTTCAATTCCGAGGATGTTTTGGAATGAGTTGAGACACTTCGTCTCGAGGTTGGAAGCTTAGGTTGAAAAGGTTGATCGGATGTTAACCTATGTGTAAATGACTACGGGATGTTGTTTTGATGGTCTGGTCCCATTATCTTCGTTGCGTGATTTTAAACTTAATAGTGTATCCGGATTGTGATTTGGAGGTCCGTAGTTGAATTTGGCTTGAAATGGCGAAAGTTGAAAATTTAGAAGTTTGACTGAGAGTTGACTATTGTAATGACCCGGCCGATTGTTTTGAGCTTTTGCACTTTGCTCGCCAATTCCCAGGCATAACTTGCCCCGTGTGATGTATTATGACTTATGTAAATAGTTGGTTTTGGCTTTCAAGGTAGTCAAAACGAATTTGGAAGAACAGTTCTCAGTTTGAAGCTTGAAATTTGAAAGGTTTGACCAAGATTTGACTTGTTTGTATATGATCTCGGATCGGAATTTTTATGATTTGGTTAGCTCCGTTAGGTGATTTGGGACTTAGGAGCATGATCGGAATGCATTTTGGAAGTCCGTGGAAGGTTTAGGCTTGAATTGGCGAAATTGAGATTTTGGATTTTTCCGGTTGATAGGTGAGATTTTGATATAGGGGCCGGAATGGAATTTCGGAAGTTGCAGTTT